TTATGAGTCTGCAAGGGACTGGCACTGAATCTGTTATAATTTCATGTAGCGCCTTCTGTAGCATGTTCGTTATGCGAAGCCATCTTTATCCGACCATTCAACCGTTTGAATCTTTTGTAATCGTCACCCGCTTGTCCCACCGTTGTGGTCTTCGGGGTTGCTCGAGCTTTGTCTAATTCCTTGTTTTTGACTTGGCTTAACACTTAATTTAATGTGAGAAAAAAGAAAGCAAGCAAGAAAAAGCAAAAAGAGCCAAAGTAAAGAGGAGGGCAAACGAAAGAAAGAAAAAGACGGAAAGAGTGTAAAGAAAAGAAACTGAGAAATAAAGTAAAAAAAGAAAGAGCAAAAGAAAGAAAGAGTAAAATAAACAGAGAAAGAGAGCAAACGAAAGAGAGAAAAAAGAAAGAGAATAAACGAAAGAAAAACCAAAAGAGTGTAAACGAAAAAAAGAAGAAAAAAAAAGAAGGTAAGCGAAATAAAGAGAGCAATCAAGAAAGACTCACTGAATGAAAGAAAGAACGAAACAAATAAAGAAAATGAGAAAGAAACAATAGGAAATCTTGGTGTTGTATAAAAATGAAATCAAGGAGACATGACGAAGTGAAAGGAAACATAAGAGAAAGTGAATTTGACATACATTCCTCTGCAAAAATATTGGAACGCCAGGACTAATTCCTTTGTTTATGTTATTCACTGAAGACATTTGCTTTCGTTTTGTTTGATTTACGACATAACAAAACGTTATTTGATGCCGACATGATTTTTAGGATAGGTTCGTATGAATAGAATATGTATTCTTTGCAAGAAATCAGTTTGTAGATCAAGTTTTCTTGGCGTATTTTTGTAAAGAACGTTTTTGTCGGGAGTCGGGTTTCATTGATGTATTCTTTTCAAATATACAGATGGTAGAGAAATCGATGTTATTCACATTCTGATTTGGTTTATATTTTTTTTTTGGTAGAGGCCCACTATTTTAAGAAATAATATATCATCCACTTTTGTTTTCTCGAAGTTGTTTATATTATACAAGTTGTTTATATTATAGCATTTTTGTCTTGAGTGAGCAAGATCTTAGTACTCGGTTAATATACGTTTTATAGTGTATGCCGTTTCACAGCTTTGACATACAAGACATTTGAGTTTCGATTCAAAAGATGAATATGAGACAAGTGTTCAGAATTTCAGTTTTTATTTGCTGGAATTTACATTTAGTTGTTTTAAACAGCTTAGGCATACCTCCATTTGCATCAGATCACTCCATATTTAAATGAGCAAATTAAAGGAAAAGATAGTCTTAAAGAGAATTTATTATTTGGTTACATAACACTTGCGAGCAGTAACTGCATCAAGCCTGCGACACACTGACGTCACCAGACTGTTGCATTCTTCATTTGTTACGCTTTTCCAAACTTTTTACGATCTTTCTTTCTGTTCTTGTTTGTTTCCAAGAGTTTCTTCCTTCAGTCTCCTCTTCAAGAGATGAAATCCATGGTCTATTTGATTATGATCCTGTGATTGACTTGGCCAATATAAAACTATTCGATTTTCCCTGATGAAATCCTTAGTTGTGTTGGCATTACTATTTTACTGCATGATAAACTTCAACTCGATTAGTTTGGGTGCATTTCTCTGTAAATTGGCTGACAAAATATTTCTTTAGACTTCTGAAATCATTCTGCTGGGATCATCATGAGTTAATAAATATGGATGAGTCTGTTCTGGAATCAGCCATACAAGCACAAGCCAACGCACTGCCTCCGTCATGCTTCACAGATGAGCTTATATGCTTTGGATCATCATCAACTCCTTTGTTTCTCACACTTTTGATTTCCCATGACTTTAGTAGAGATTAATTTTTGTCACATCAGTCCATAAAACATTCTTCCAAAATTTTTGTCGTTCATCACTGTACTTCCTTGGCAATTTTCATCTGGCCTTCCTAATCTTACTGCTGATGATTGGGTTGAATCGTGTGATCTGGCTTCTATATTCCTGCTCTCAAAGGCTCCTTTGAACGGTGAATTGTAAGAACTTGACTCCTGCAGCTGGAGGTTAATAGTGATGTCACTGACTGTTGTCTTAGATTTTTATCAACTACTGCCATTGTTCTATACCTGTTGTTCATTACAACAATAGTTTCTTTCTTTTTCAGGACATGCCAAATTGTTGTGTTGGCTATGCCCAAAATTTGCCCAATGGCTCTGATCGATTTTTCTTCTTAGCTTCAAAATGTCATGATTTTCATCTATAGACAGATATCTCGTCTTCATTTTTGTTTATTTTTTTAACAAGAAATAACGTTTCTACAAGTGAAGCCCAAGACTAAAACCAAGATTAGTCATTCAAACCGATTTTCTGTTTAAAAAATCAATCTAACTGGTAACACCTGAGCAACAACAAACACCTGTCAGTTACGTGTTTCAGCTCACTTGAAAAATAGGTGAGTTGGAACAAAAGGTGGTATGTCCTCAGTTGTTTAGCATATCTGAATGTAAATACCAGGAAATAAAAGCCGAAATTTCTGAACTCTTGTATATTCTTTATTTGATCTTAAAGCCAAATGCATCCAGTAAACAGCAAAAATAAAGAAATCAGACTTGCCGTTCCAATACTTTTTGGAGGGAACTGTATACATATATGTGCGTGCGTCTGTTTATATATATATATATATATATATATATATATATATATATATATATATATATATATATATATACGTGAATCATTCATACAGAAAACAGATATAGAAGTTATTGATTTAAATGGCGAGACTACATCTTCGAAAACAATTTTAATAAAGTACATTAACCCCGAACCTGGAAATGAATGTTATGATCCCTGTTTATAAATTCCAGTTGCATAAGGTCTTTTTTAGTTTTTTACAAGCTTTCGTCTGTTCCTACAGACATCTTCAGGTATGGAAATAGATTTGTTTTTGTTTTTTACTTCTCGGTAATAATAGGACAACGAAAATATAAATGTAATCCGAAAGAATGTTTTTAGAAATGTGTTATTGTTAATTGTAAGAAATTTTTTTTGGGAGCGTGCGGTCGCAATGCTGAGGTTGAATTTTTTTGTACTAATATGGTAATAGAATTCTTTTGTACTGGTAGGTTTTTCAGTCAATGTGGCATGAACTAAACTGTTCAGTAAATACAGGAATGTCACAGTTATTATCCGAAAGTTGCACGTCGGATCAGCTCGGATTACAGGTTCGGGGTTAATGTACTTTATTAAAATTGTTTGCGAAGATGTATTCTCGCCATTTGAATCATTAACTTCTATATCTGTTTTTTTGTATGAATGATTCATGTAATGTAAATTGAACTGCACCGCATACTTGATATATATATATATATATATATATATATATATATATATATATATATAAGCAGAAAACAGACAATGAGAGGAATGCTGAAAAGGTAAAGGAAAGCGGAAACAGACATGCTAATTTTGATGTTAGCCGTTTCTTCATAAGGGAATATTCGGTATTCATTGATTGACCAGCCATTGCTACTGTTAGTTGAAAAGTATAAAATGTCTATAACAGTTTGTTCTCGCTCTGCTGGCGAGATCTAGGGATGTCTCGTTATTACTTCATAATGCACCGTTATTGATCGCGTAAGAGAGGAAGTTATGGAGAGCCTTGATCGCTCAAGTTTTGTCTCCAATGAATCTAAGTCTTAGGACAATAAGCGAATGGATTAAAGCGTTCGTTCGTGAATTTGGTGATATAGTAATTGCGAGTTCAATCTCTGGTACCGATAGTGAAGACTTCGACTATGGAAACAGAGCAAACGAAAATTCATTGATTTGATTTTTATGGCTTATCAGCACTTAGTCGGCTCTTTAAAGCTGAAACGTATGTTGGATTATAAGAATTTTTTGGCAAATCATTATTGCATTAACCTTTTTTTTTTTAAATAAAAATGATTTAGTTGTTTTTTTACGGCTAATCACCCCTTTATAGACTCACTCGGTTCTTAAAGGTCAAATTGGCAGCTGATCTCAAAAATGCTCTACAATCTGTAGCTTAGTGGAACATAGAATTTTGGTTTTTTATTCTAAAGGCTCTAAAACTAAATCGCTCTCTTTTAATTATCTGACAGAAAGTTTTTTTTACTTCTTATCAGTGACTCATTGCTTCTTATCGGACTAACATTTTCAGCTGGCATAAATTGAAAAAAAGTCATTGAATCAGAGTTGATAAGTCTGCAGCTAAGAAAGTTGGTTACTAATCCTTGTTAGACATTTTCCCACGCCAGACATATTTATCAGTCTACCATTTGTTCTTAGTTTAAATTTTGCTGCCACATCTGGCCTGGCGCTGCCTCTATATATCTTGAAATTCTCGAAACTCCAAGGAAGAATCTGCAATGTTATTAGTCCTAACCCAGTATCTTGGTTTCAGTCACAATCCCACTGCTGTAACTTAGCTAACTTCTGCCTTTTCTATAAATATATTGATGGTAATTGCTCTGATTAACTTTCAACTTTTGAACCTAGACTTTACGGATTTAAACCCAGTACTAGATTGGCGGCTAGGTCTCGTCATTTACAGTTGAAATTGCTAGATATGACCGTAATTTCTATGGTAACAGTTTCTTCTGTCGCACTTCTCACTTTTGGAAATCTCGTACGGCTTCTTGCTTCTCAGTCAACTTTAATCTTCAAAAATTTAAATGCAATGTCAATCGTTATCTTCTGTTTTATTAATTCTTATACTTTTATTGCTTGCTCTCTTTAATAGTAGGTTTTCTCATATTCTCTAACATTCAGTAACCGATTGTGTCCTTAAAAATATTTAAAGCGAGAAAATACTTTTAGATTGTAAGATTTTTTTGTGATAATAATGACTTATTAATACTTAGTCTTACCAATTAACCCTTAGTTGAAGGTGTGAGTGAACATAACGAATCCAAATGCAATTGAAACGGCTCCCCGATTAACAATTCTGAGGCGTTATACATTACACCACCCGCACATCCAAGCTTACCGTTTCTGGTATTCCCAAGAGGTCAACCATCAAAGTACTGATCTGGCTCGAATATGCCTAACTTCGTTGATCGTACGGGAACGGCGTTTCAACGTAAGAATAAAATTAGCAAGCTCTGAGAAAGCACGAATTTTTCCAGATACAAGTCCTACTATTTAACCCATAGATGGAGGGAAGAGAGAAATTCATACATTTCCCAAGGTATTTGCGCATAAGTAAATATAACGAATCAGAATTCCGAACTGTTAACCATGACACGCACCCGAACATCCATAATGGAAACAAACAAAAACAAGCAAGCTAAAACAAAGATGCCTTCCAAAAACTAGTTCGAAAGTTGCAAAACAAGAGCATTTTCTTAGAAACAAAAAAAAAACATGCAGAACTGCTACGGCATTGACTGTTAAGACATTGTACACACAGAGGAAAATGCATCCTGAAAGAACCAAAAGATGTGGTTCTACAGAAAGATGTTGAGAATGCCATGCAAATGACATATGAGCAACGATGAAGTGGAAACAAAAAGGACGCTTATACTAAGTATCAAAAGAAAGGTTGAACTATCTCAGTCACATAAAACGAAAAGAGGGCTTTGAGAGTTTGACACTCAATGGGAAAATTTGAAGGCAAGGGGGACAGCGAGTAACCAACCAACCTACCAAGCTTGTGTTCATGGATGACAGAACCAGGATTGTAGAGTTAGCGAAAGTACAAAACTTACAAAGAGCTACAAAAGATAGGAAATTATGAAATTCATGAAAGTCATGAAGAGAAATGACACATAGAAAAATGTTATTTATGATTACTGCAATTATTAATTTTTTATCGTTACAAAAGTATCTATCAAGACAATTATAAGCAATAGAGTGTGGAAGTAAAGCTTAACAAATGGTCTGACCTCGACAACTATCGAAATTAATAATTTATTCAACATGGCTTCACTTCCTTAAGGGCAGCGTTGATGGTATTGGTGTTAGAGGCTTATTAAAAAAACAAACAAAAAAACAACAAGTAAAATACAAACAAACAAAAAAACACTCCACATTGGTTTAGTCTAGCTGGCTCAGTTCTGGACTGTAGAAGGCAACAATTTCGTGGGTCAGTCAACACACTAATGCAGAACGTCTGCACCTTCTTGTTTCTGTTGAGGCCACGGAACACATGATCCTGAACTAGACAACATATTTAGTCTCTTCAGCTTCCTTTTACATCAGCTGTTGACTCCGTCTCATTTCCTTTTCTCTTTCCCTCACATCGCTTTCTTTTCTCTTTCCCTCACCTCGCTTTCTTTTCTCTTCCCTATCTCCTCCTGCTTTTTTTCTCTTTTCCTCACCTCGCTTTCTTTTCTCTTTCCCTCACCTCGCTTTCTTTTCTCTTTCCCTCACCTCGCTTTCTTTTCTCTTTCCCTCACTTCGCTTTCTTTTCTCTTTCCCTCACCTCACTTTCTTTTTTCTCTTCCCTCACCTCCTTTCTTTCTCTTCCCTATCTCCTCCTGCTTTTTTTCTCTTTCCCTCACCTCACTTTCTTTTCTCTTTCCCTCACCTCGCTTTCTTTTCTCTTCCCTATCTCCTCCTGCATTTTTTTTCTCTTTCCCTCACCTCACTTTCTTTTCTCTTTCCCTCACTTCGCTTTCTTTTCTCTTTCCCTCACCTCGCTTTCTTTTCTCTTCCCTATCTCCTCCTGCTTTTTTTTCTCTTTCCCTCACCTCGCTTTCTTTTCTCTTTCCCTCACCTCGCTTTCTTTTCTCTTTCCCTCACCTCACTTTCTTTTCTCTTTCCCTCACCTCGCTTTCTTTTCTTTTTCCCTCACCTCGCTTTCTTTTCACTTTCCCTCACCTCGCTTTCTTTTCTCTTCCCTATCTCCTCCTGCTTTTTTCTCTATAATATTTCCACTCACTTTCTTTTCTGTCTAATCTCCCCACAATTTTTTATCTTCCTTATCTCTTCTTGCTTTCTTTTCTTTTCTTTTTTTTGTCCCCCTCTCACTTTCTTTTCTTTTTGTCATTTCTTCTCGTGTATTTTCCCTTTCTTATATCCTCTTGTTTCTTTCCTATCTCTTTTCGGTTTTCAAACGAGTTTTCCGATGAATTTCTAAACATGGCTTTAAGCGAAGGTCCAAGTAAGAAAAATTCTTTCTCACTCTTCCTTTTATTTTCTCTTTTTTATCTCCTCCCGCTTTCTTTTCTCTGTCATATCTGCCCACACATTTTATCTCTCCCTTATCTCTTTTTCCTTTCTTTTCGCTCTCTAATCACTTTTCACTTACAATTTTCATTTACATCTCTTCTTGCTTTCACTTTTCTGAATTATCTCCCTTTACTTTCTTTTTCTTACCTAATCGTATCTAGCTTTCTTTTGTCTCCCTCATTTAATGTCTCTGTCTTTTTTCTTCCTTATCCCCTCACACTTTCTTTTATATTTCTCATCCCTTCTCGCTTTCATTTATCTATCTAATCTCCCCACAAATTTCTTTTCTCGTTCTCATCTCTTCACGTGTTTTTTCTCATTTCTTATATAATCTCATTTCTTTTGCGGCTCTTTTCGTTTTTCAACCGATTTTTCAGATCAATGACTAAAAATGGCTTCGAGCGAATAAAGCAGGTAAGCCAAGTAAGGAAAATAATTTTTCGATTCTCGTGGACTGACGCTACATAATCACATATAAATATAGCACTTTTCAGGAATATCATCACATGATGAAATATATATATATATATATATATATATATATATATATATATATATAGTTGATATGAATGTTCACTTTATATATATATATATATATATATATATATATATATATATATATATATATAGAAGTGAACATTCATGTCAACACTAGAAACATTTCAGGCTGTTTCATGCTAGACGCAATCGTCAGCCCGCCTGATATTGAGCACTATATCCCATAAATATAGCACACTTTAAAACTATATTTCTGCATATATATATATATATATATATATATATATATATATATATATATATATATATATATATAGTAGAGCCAGCGTTGCCCGGAGATGTAACAGTAAGAGATAGATCAAGTATCGACCATCATAAAGAGGAAGACTGAAAAATAAAAATTGACAAAGAGTATTGTTTAAGGTTGACGGACACGCATGTCTTAATTATTATTTTTTTTTGTTTTTTTTTTTTGTTTGTTTTTTTTTATGAATTGGTCAAACCCAAACTCAAACAAAAACATTGTTTTCAATCGTTATGAGTCTATCGATTGAATAGAATTTTATTATAAACAATTGTCTTGTAAATGGAATTTTTAAAGCATTCTGAATGTAAAAATAAAGAAAAAAGTGTGCAAGACAATAAGAAACACTACCTGCCAAAAAAAGTGAAATTTTGTTGAAATCGGTTGAAAAATGTAGGAAATCCGATCCCATATATAAACGAACACAGGCACACACACACACACAAACAATCTGGGTTTTTATCAGTATAACTCGATATGAGTTGTCCCCCTTTCATTCTGGCGACAGAATCGTGTTTTCAAATTGATTTCGTGCAAAAAACAATTGTGTTTTTCAATTTTTGGCTTGTCAGAACCACCGCAATGTAATTTTACGTAGTCCTGTGAAGTTTTGTTGAAATCGGTTGAAAAATGTAGGAAATCCGATCCAATATATAAACGTACAGACACACACACATACAATCTGCGTTTTATAATAAGTAAGATATATATATATATATATATATATATATATATATATATATATATATATATATATATTCGTTTTTTTCACTTCGCCATACCTTGCTGATTTCTTTTTCTATAGTTTCTTTATTTCAATCTTTCATTCATTCATACTTTATTTATTTATTTATTTATTGCATTCTTTCGTTTACTATCTTATTTTCTTTTGTTTACCATTCTTTCTTTCTTTCTTTCTTTCTTTCTTTCGTTTGCACTCCTTCTTTTTATTTATTTCACCCGTTCTTTCTTTCGCACTTTCTTGTTTCTTTCTCTTGTTCTTTCTTTCCTTCTTTCGTTTGATCTCTTTTTTCTTTCAGCATTTTTCACACTTTCTTTCATTTATGCTATTTCTTATTTATTTATTTCAATACTTCTTTCTCTTGTTCTTTCTTTTTTTATTTTTTCATTTTTTGTTTCTTTCGTTTGCATACTTTCTTTCTTTCGCTTTTTTCTTGCTTTTTTTCTTTTTTTCTCTTTTTTTCTCTTTTTCTTTCTCACTTTTTCTTTCTTTCTTTCGTTCTATATTTCGTTTACTCTCCCTTAATTTTGCTTCCATTCTGTTGCTCTTTTCTTTCTTTATTTCACCATTTATTTGTTTGTTTCTATCTCTCTCTTTCACACTTTCTTTCTTTCACTGTGTTCTATGTTTTCTTTTATCGCATATCCTATCCTTTTTTCTGCACATATTTTCGACTTCATTTCGGGGAACTGATTCTATCCAATTGTCCATTAGTGTCGTATGCATTCTGTTCTTCACCAAACTCTAAAACCTTTTTCCATGAAGCCACCCTACCGGGGCTGATTGACATTTACAGCCATATCAACTGTCTTCCGGATTAACACATTGCTTCAGCTCCATTGGACGCCTGTTTGATCCTAGTGAGATAGGGGATGGTGACTGAAGGCACCGGCTCTGTTTTTTCCCGCTCTTTTCATTATTGAATCTGTCAAAATCTTCTGTTTCTGGTGACAATTCTAACCTCTGACAAAAAGAGAGATCAAGATTGACAAAGGGCTTGTCTGGTTGACACCTTCACTGATTGGCAAGGAAATTAATAAGAAAGAAAAAACAAAGAGAGAGAGAGAGAGAGAGAGAGAGAGAGAGAGATGAGAGAGAAAGATGAGAGAGAGGACGGAAAAAGAGAAAAAAGAAGAAAAGAAAAGAAATAGAAAGAAAGAAAGAAAGAAAGAAAAACAAGCTAAAGCGATATCAAAAGGAAGAAAATCCATCAGATTTGAAAAGAGAAAGAAAATTGAAGAATGAAAGAAAGCAAGAGATAGTTTCACTGAAAAAATAAAGAGAAAAGCGTATGAGAATGAGAAAGGGAAAGAAAGAAAGAAAGAAAGAAAAGCAAGAGAAAGCAATATCAAAAGAAAGAAAGAGAAAAGTGTATCAGAATGGAAAAGAGAAAGAAAGAAATATAAAAGAAAATATGTCGAATAAGAGAAAATAAAAGGAAATAAATATTTAAATTGGAATGAATAAGGAAGAAAAATGAGAAGACATGAAAGAGAGAGAGAGAGCGAATAAAGTAGAGAAGGAGTTTAGAAAATAAAGGAAGAAGAAGAAAGGAACGTCAATATAAGGGGAAATAAAAACTGAAGTGAATATAAGAAAGAAAAGAGAAAATAATAGAAAAATATGCAAAAAGAAATAAATGAAAGATATAAATGAACTAGCAAGTTAAAGAAAATCGACAAAAAGAATGAAATAATAAATAAGTGAAAGAAAGAATTACTGAAAAGAGAAATAGGAAAGAGAAAAGAACAAACAGAAAAAATACGAACGAATAAAGGAAAGAAAAACGGCTGAATGAGAGTAATAAGAAAATAAAGTTGGGATAAGTGATGGAAAGAAAAATCAAAAGAAATAAATAATAAACGAAGTAAGGAAAGAACGTATGAATGAAAATAAGCAAAACATTGTGTAAAAAAAAGAATAAACGAAATAAAACAAGAACGAAAAAACGAAGAAAAGAAGATAATGAAAAAGAAAATAGACAAAAGAAAGAAAGAACAAATAAAAGAAAGAAAAAGGATTAATAAAATAGAAAAAATATAACTGATCGGGTGTATTGATTAAGGAAGAGAAACTTCAAAAGAAAGGAATAAAACAAAAAAGATAGAGAAAAGAAAATGATAGAAAAGAGAGAAGAAAAGCACAAAATAGGGTAAAGAAAGAAAGAGATTAAATGGAAGAGAAAAAAAAATGTAATGAAAAAGCCCCCCCCCCTCCGAAAAAAATAATAATAGTAAGATGCATAAAAGAGAAAGTGGAATCAAAATTGGTAAAACAAAAGATAGAACAACTTTTAGAAAGGAAAAAGAAAAAAAAGAAAGAAGGAAAGCAAGGAAAAAGAAAAAAGAAAAATATAAATGTGTGTTTATGCATTTTCATTTATTTTTTTCGTTTGGATGCGTGTACGAATGACATATAGAAAATTTCTCAGCCTGACTAAGAAATATTAAACATGGAAAGAAGGGAGGACCATAAACTTTCACCAGCCACTCGTATATTCAGCATAAACAAAGCGACGGAACACAGTTTCTATAAAAAAATACAGGTACCAAAAATACAATAGAATGCTATTTTCTCCTTAGTACATTTGCACACTATCTATCTATCTATCTATCTATCTATCTATCTCTCTCTCTCTTTTCTCTCTCTCTCTCTATATATATATATATATATATATATATATATATATATATACAGACGACTCCAAAAGAATTAGAGCAACAAGTACAATTCCTTGTTTTTGTTGTTTACTGAAGACATTTGTATCTAAAATCCAAAAATGAATATGAGACAAGTGTTCAGAATTTCACCTTTCATTTACATTTAGAGGTGCTAAACAACTTTAGCCAAACAACATTTTGTTTGAACGTACCATTTTTTAAAGTAAGCAATACTACTGGAAAAAATGACTGACAGGTATTTCTTGTTGCCCAGGTGTTAATTTAAGATTCATTGTTTAAACATTAAGTGGCTCTGAATGATTCCGACAGCTTTCAGTCTTAGGTTTCAGCTTTAAAGAACATATATATATATATATATATATATATGTGTGTGTGTGTGTGTGTGTGTGTGTGTGTGTGATTGTAATTTGTTTATCACTGTTTGGCACAACTCATACAATATATTTATGAGAACAGTTTCATCTTTCATGCACATAGTAATCGTTAGGTCCGTATACTATATATATATATATATATATATATATATATATATATATATATATATATTGAAAAAAAAAAATAAAAATAAAATCTTTAGACACACTGGGTTTTAGATTAATATTCTTTCGTTTTTTTTATTATTATTATTTCATTTAGATTCCTCGACTAGTTTCGTCCAAAATGGCCATCATCGGGAGGAGAAATATTTCTGCTATCTGGTAGCAGTAAACTACAGAAATGAATCTTTTGCTGGAGAAAATGAATTTTGTCTGTAATTTTCATTTGTTTTTTATCTTTTTAACATGAATCTTTTAACAATCTTTGTGTTGGTCAAACAGTCTCTTTTAAGTTGTTATTTGAGATAAGAGCTGGATAGATAACATGCTGCTCTGAATTCTCTGGTCAGTTTGACAGTTTTATTGGACCTGGTGAGGGGATGTGTCTCTGTTTATGTTTGTGTGTGTGTTATTTTGTTCTTAGAGAGTGAGTGAGTATGATATGTGTAAGTGTGTGTATTGCTGTGGGTGTGTGTTATCATTTGGTTCATTAGGGAGTGAGTGAGTATGATGTGTGTAAGTGTGTATATTCGTGTGGGTGTGTGTATAAGTGTATAAGTGTGAGGCCTCCACACCTCCGTAAGGATGTCTGTCTTGTGTGGGTGAGAAATGTGGGTAGGTTTTGATTTGTTGAGTTATATATTGGTACTATCTGTATTGTTAAATTTATGGTTTAGCCCGGCTGGATATTTTGTTTTTAGACGTTGTATCCACTTATTTTTATGGGACTCTAAAATCTTTCTAATGTTATCTGCTCTGAACTTTTCTATTCTCTCAATTATAGTGAATTTGGCATGGGTTTTGAAATCGTGTTTTTACTCGACTCTCCCGTCGAATTCGACGTATGAGGGTCAAGCAGATCGGTTCCTAGGAAACCAACAGTCCGACAACAGCACATGAGTTATGATTATAGTGCTAAAGGTTTCGTGCAGGATCATCGACACATATATATATGAAAAAAATTAAAAAATTACAAGAAGAAAACTATATTTAGTTTTAGCTGACACGTTTCTTTTTTATCAAGGCAAATGTAATGATTTTACTTTGCAACAATTTGTTGATTGCTCAATTTTTTAAAATTTAAAGACGCTCATAAATATTCATCAAGTTAATATAAACTGTTTAATGAGTCGATATGCGGCACATAGAACTGATTAAGCATGCGATGTTTTACTGACATTTTAGTATATTAAATGGGAAAGAAGGTAATAGGTAGTTGGGGGTCTGTCCCTAGAATCTTACAGGTGACTCTTAATTGCTTTTTTAACAATATTTAAAAAGGACAATTTATGCACTTATTTTTAACACTTTGGTACAATTACGGCGACTTTGAAGCGAATTTTTTTTTTGATTTCCATTGTCGAAAGCATCGCTCACCTAGGACGGCTGAAGATGGTACGGTGGGTAGGGGTGTGAATGCTTAATTCTCTAAATGATCTACCTACGTTTTCTTTCGGCATCTGTCAAAGGAATTCGAGTTATTCCTAGATATCAAGAACAACCAATCAGCCACAAGCAAATGGCACTTGAAATAATATGCATATGGACACACAAATGAATGAAGCAAATTAAAATGCAAGTTTATTAAGTTTTGAAAACGTTGAGCCAAATTTCTTATTCAGTTTGCCACTCAGGGTAGATTCCCATAAAAATGTAATGTTGAGAATTAACACGAAAATAGTGTGCAAGCAGTTTATGCAGACGTGCCGGCATATGCGTAAATATGCACACACACAAACGCGCACGCGCGCACACACACGCATACACATACGAGTACACGTACTGAGTCAAGGATCAAAAGAAAATTAAAACAATGAATGAAGAAGAAAAAAATAAAATTCAGAAATTTTATGGTATAGAATAGGGAAAAGGACATAAATCCCCCAAAAAACAACAACAGAAAAAAAAGGCAAAAAGTTAAATACAAGAAAATTACAAAGAATAACAGTCAAATGTATTCATTTCAATAATACCAACATACATTAAGACAGGCGTAGTCATCTAGTGGGTTCTTGAATGCATATTTAATCAAGAAAGATTGGGTGGGGCCAACTTTGGAACTAGGAATGGGTACAGTTACCTCTGAGGTTGTATGGTCTTGGGGAGGAGCATGCTAGGATTGCCAATTCTATTTTTACATTTGTACATTTTTAAATGTTCGTGGCAGTAGTTTACACTAGCCATGAGTTTAAAAAAGATTCAACCAACTTCAAAGTTCATTTAGGATAAATAAATATAAAATTCAAATATCTCTCTCGAAGTACTTCTGGCACCTCAAAGAATCAAATAAAACACCTACAGTAAAATGGAAGTTAATAAGAAAATCTAGAATATGTAGGACCCATGTCCTTTGTACATGAATGAGAAACTATATATTACTAAGTTTATAAAAATTAAAAATTTACTGAATCAGAGAAATGAAATAGTTATTTTATGCCGTCATTGTCAAAAATTTTCCTTAAATAATATTTAAAAATAAAATTAAAAGTGTGACCTGGTAATATACATACTTATATTTAATGTGAAAAAATAATATTATATACTGTAAGTAATTCTATTACATTTACTTGTTTTATAAATAAAAAAATATAGTCTATTAAAATTAACAGTGAAAATATTTTAAAGTTGTATTAAAAACTGTAGTTAAAACGAATTTTAACCTAAACATCTTTTAAAACTGTAGTTAAATAAAAGGTATCCTAACCTAAACACCTCTCTCAAAGTACTACAAGCACTTAAATGAATCCAATAAAACACCTACAGTAAAATGAAATTAAGATGAAAAGCTAGATGTAGGACATTAATTGACCCATGTCCTTTGTACACACATGATAAACTATATATTACTAAGTTTATAAAAAATAAAAGTTTACTAAATCAGAGAAATGAATTAAGTATTTTTGCCGTAATTGACATAAATTTTACTTAAATAATATTTAAATATACAACTTAAATAAATTGTGACCTGGTAATATACATACTTATACTTGATATGGAAAATAAGTTTACTTACTGAAAGTAATTCCAATAAATTTACTTATTTTAAAAAGAAATATAGTCTATTAAAATTAACAGTGAAATATTTTAAAGTTGTATTTAAAATTGTAGTTAAATAAAACAAATTCTAAGCTAAACATCTTTTAAAATTGTAGTTAAATAAAACGTATCCTAACCTAAACACCTCTCTCAAAGTACTACAAGCACTTAAATGAATCCAATAAAACACCTACTGTAAAATGAAATTAATATGAAAGCTAGAAGATATAAGCCTTTGAATGACCCATGTCCTTTGTACTTATATGAGAAACAATATATTACTAGGTTTATATAAAAAATAAAAGTTTACTAAATCAGAGAAATGAATTAGCTATTTTTGCCGTCATTGTCATAAATTTTACTTAAATAATATTTAAGTACAAATTTTTTAAAAAATTGTGACCTGGTAATATACATACTTATACTTGATGTGAAAATAATTTTACATAGTGTAAGTAATTCTAATATATTTACTTGTTTTACAAAGAAATATAGTATATTAAAAATTAAAAGTGAAAATATTTTTAAAATTGTAGTTAAATAAAACATATTCTAACCTAAACAACCCAAAAAAATCTTTAAATATACAAATAGAAAAAAATGCCGTAAGAATTTTTGCTGTTAACAATAAATGTAATAAAAACTCCAGACGACATGCATTTGACGGATATCAGAATTCACTGAAAAATACATCCCTACCTCCTACCAAAACGTAACTAATAACCGATACATCAAAATACAGCGATAATGAACACGCAACCACTCCTTGTCTGGATGAATCGATTTCTCTGTATCCTTGGAAACGTGAATTATGAATTTTTTCTGTGTCTTTAAAACCCAGTAATTTATAAGTTACTCCAAAATTCGTTTGAGGATGAAATGGAACTAATGTCTTTAATTTAATTATAAAATTAAATTCGAAGCTTTTAGCTTCCGTTTTTGAAACATGGTTAGAATTGTGTAGCGAAAAAAACATTTTAAATCAGATAATTTATAATATTAATGCTCTGTTAATTTACATTGAGCACTATTTTGTAAAAATAAAAATATCTATAAGAACACCAGGTTATATATCTTACTGTTCTTTCTTTATATATATATATATATATATATATATATACAAATATTGGAAAGAGGGGTATAAGAAAAGGACGTATCTTCTCAAAAGAATGTATTCAAACCCTACAATGAGGCGAATCTGAGAGAATTAAAGGTTCTATCAGGATCCATTGTTGGCGGCCACAATGTTAACTGCATAAGATATGCAGACGACACAGTGTTGATAGGAGATTATGGAAAGTACACGAACTCCTACAGAAGCTAGTGAAGGAAAGCGCGAAGAAAGGATTAAACATTAATAACAAGATAGAATGCACATTTAATAGCAAAAAGGGGCAGACCAACATGAAAATTACACATTAGGGATACGAAAAAAACAATTAAGTATAAAAATGTAAATATTTAATAAGTTCTTTAACAGATAATGGAAAATGCGACACAGAAATCTTAAGGACGAATTTAGATAGCCAAGAATGCCTTCCAAATGCTAAGAAATGTATTAAGAAACAAAAAAAAATCTTTAGAAACAAAGAACCGAGGACTGAACTGTTACCTATAATTTGTGCTGTATGGCAGTTAATGCTAGACAATCTCTTCACAGATAAAGAGAAGCCTTGAGGATTTGGAAGATTCCATGGACCAAACAGCTTTAGAGAAAATGGAAACAAAAAGGAAATTTATATTTAACATCAGATAAAGATAGTTGAAATTTCTAGGGCATATAATGAGGAAAGAGGGATTGGGAAATCTGATACTCCCATGACAGACTGAAGGTAAGAGGGACAAAAGAAAAAAAATGCATAACTTACTTAGTGACTGGATTGCGAATCAAGGTTTAGAAGAAAGAACAAAAAGATGACATTTATCAAGATCTACTCAAGGATAGGAAATTATAGAGAGCCATGATCGCATACGTCTTGAAGGAACACGTACGAAAGGCCAGAAAAAAGTATGTCTCCTTACTGACTCTCCCATCCCCCTATTCTGCTCTCCATTTACACAAGATTGTTAGGTATTTTATTTACTATTTTCTTTTATCCCTCTTGACTTCCGTATGTTCAGTCCGTGTCAAATTCGCCAAGCTTTCCCTCCTCATTATATGTTCCCTAAATTTCTCGTCTTGATTCTAAGTATAAGTACACTTTTTAAAATTTTTCTTAAAACTACCTCGTTACTTGCATGTTCTGTACGTCGCTTGTGGAGTTAGTAGCCATGGTCAAATGCAAAATATGCAACAGAATTGTCCAACTGTGGACATGAAAGTGAGACTAAAGTATAGCTCTCGGCGTAAGAGGGTTCGTTTGTGTCTGGCGTGCATCAATGTTTGATCCGAAGAAAGAAATAGGGCCATTACGGTGAGTCGGTCTTATGAAAACGCGATCTCGTAGCTGCGAGAATTGGCGAGAAAACTGTATATTGGCCGTATGCAAATTGGTTGGTGTTCGCTGGCATAAAAGGTGACGGTGGGAGACCACTCAGGAGAAACGTGTGTAGCGAACTACAAAAGGCGGTGTTGTTAAAGAGTGCGAAGATCGGTGGAGTTTTTGAGGCGATTGTTTTTTATATAACTACGTTGTGTGTTTCGAACTGAGGTGTTGTTGTCTTCACCGGGAAATGTGTCCTTCTTACCGAGAAATGAGACTGTTTGTATTTTACATAGAATAATTCCATCGAACTGTTCAGCACTCAATGTGTTGAAGCTAAATTGTTTTGAGCAACCTGTCTTGAAGCTGAGGAGTTTTCTTTCTTCCGGAAGTAGGCGGTGCCGGGCCAACCCGTTCCCTTCCTATTGTTTGTTCCTGATTTTACTTACACCAACAAAATGTAATAAGTCAAAAAGGTCACAGACCATGAATTTGGACAAGCGAACGTAGCGTTCTGACTTCAAGATAAGACAGATCGGGACTGTATCAGATGAAAATGAGAACCTGCTTGGCTCGGAAAAAATTCCATTGTTGTGCATCTTTCTATAAAATGGGAAGGGAAAACTGTTTTGTCGTCAATACTATTGGCTTTAAACCAACAACGTTTTTAAATTATTTATCTGCAAACTCCATTAATACATAAAGTAGCACAATGGAGTTTTTAGAAGTAGAAATCCCACAGATAGATGGAACGAACAGAAAAAAAAAACGGTTCTTCTAAATTGATATTTGCCTCAAGGTTAAACTTAGCACTTTCTCTCTCTCTCTCTCTCTATCGCTCTCTTTCTATCTATCTATCTATTTCTATCTATAAAAGGCAGGATGTGTGGGTGGGCGTAACGAATGCACGGCCGCAATTTTCGACGGATTTGCACAAAAATTTACATGCACATGCTCCAAGTTAGCGGGAAGGCCAAGACCGACTTTGCATTTCCCAACTCCTATCGATAGTGGAAATAATCGATTTTTTCATGCTTCTACTGCAGTTTTCATGTAGTTGCCGGCCATTTTCTACTGGCCAGAGTGAGAGCCTATAGCTGGCTGCCACGAATAGGCAGGAAGATTATATTGGCCAGCGTGAGAGCCAACAGCTGACTGACATGAATGTTAACTAGCATGCTAACATGTTGCATTCGTAACAAGTGGGAAAAATTTAAATCTGCATGGCACTTTACTTCAATTGGCTCATTCGTTTGCTTAAACTCAACGTTGATTCTAATTCCGCAGAACTGGGTTGGGTGTGAAAAGATATTTGTTGTTAACGTTCTTTTTTCATTCGGTTTTTCCAGTTACGAGTCCTTTTTTAAAGGTGATCGTTTTGTGCTCATTTTGTTTAGTTCTTTTTTTCGTAACAGATTTAATGTTTAGTATAGAGCTTTAAAAAATTCGTAGTGTGAGATAGTCAATAATTAAGGACATGTAGTTTTCAAAAGCACGGCAAAGGGCATTCCTTTAAAAAAGGAAGGGGCAAAATATTTTAAGTCAAGTGATAGCGATTGCTGTATGAGACGTACGATTTTTGAATCAAGCACATATAAACGTACAGACCATGCTGCTAGTTTGGATATATATATATATATATATATATATATATATATATATATATATATATATATATATATATATTTGTTTGAATAAAAGACAGACCACGTTAAGATTCCATGTAATAGCTATTTCCACCATAACCCCTTTAACAGGGTTCTGGATCATCAGACTTTACTTCCAAAAGCTGAAATGAAAATGAAAAAGAAATTCACACGTTTTTACGGACCTCATCAAGTATATGCAAAGTTAACGAAGTGAGGAAGTGAGAGTGGGAGAGGGATATAGGTGTGTCATATGTATCATTTAGTTTCCTATTTTAACCCCAGTGTGTCGGCTGGATGTTGCTCAAATTTAACGCGTCTCGTCTCTAGATAAAAGGTGGTTAAGGGGGTGAGCGATAAGAACTACATTAAGGAAGACGTTACAACAACCCCAATAAATTACATGACATGTTTCATTCAAATTCTTAGACGCTGTCAGTTCGCGCTACTTTAACGTGCCTATTTGGGAGGTTAAGGTTTGATAAATATCTAAATTTTAAAACAATCTACGAAGAAATTAATTTGAAATTCGGTGGAGTTTTGGGTATTTTCTCTGAAGCACTCGATTGGAAAAATCCATAGACAGAACATTGAAAGAGTAATCCAATTTATATTTAGTACTTTTTCCACTAAAACTTTTTATCTTATAGCTTGTTAGGTTGACATTTATTCGTTTGATTTTGTTCATTAAAGTAAACTCGTGATTGTTTTGATTTTTGTTCATTAAATAAACTCGTGGTTGTTTTTTATGTATCCAATTATCAACAGTTATTCCATTTAAATACTTTTATTTTTCACATTGGGGTAGTATCTTTCAATCTCAATTAAAATACTAATCTAAAACTTCCCTTCGTGCTATTTAAAATTCACTTCCATTAGAGAATATTATAGGAGAAATTTGGAAGAGATGTCACTAGCAGAAAATTAGGCCCTTCTTTTACATTTTCTTATCCTACATGTCTTGAACCCCTATTTGTAACCACATATCTATATCGTCTTATATGCCTATGAGTTCCTATATACACCTACACACACATTCACACGAAACGATATATGTATATTTCCATCTTTACACATATACACCTGCAGAGAAAACGCACATCCACATGTCTCCATACCTATCTCCATGTATACTTATACTTACATATATACATATACACACAAGGACATCTGCATATCCATATATATTCATACGCACATATATATATTTACACATCCATACGTATACACATATACACATACATACACACACCCATATATGCATACATACATATACATACACACACATATGCATACGCAATATGCAGAATATCTACATACCCACATATGCGTTAATTTGCACTTACATATATCTACCTACGTATTTGTCCCTATCCTCATGTCCACCCGTGCATCCACATATGCCTGCGTTCGAAGACTATCTCAGTATTTAATTACATTATCTATATCTTTACACATATAATATTACTCGATCTTTCATATTTATGGCAAAACATATAAGTACCTATCTAATTGTACATCTCCACACTCACAAAAAAAGAAAAAAAAAAGAATTGGTATGCTTCTTTTTCCGTATAAAAACATATACATGTACATATCAACAGGTGTCTCAGTGTACAAATACATTATCATAGTTGTATACGTACAGTCATGTGTTAGCGTTCACGTGTGCATAGCAATATTTCTAAAAACAAAGTGAATATAAAACATTCAAAAATGCAATATGCAGATGTCCTTGTGTGTATATGTATATATGTAAGTATAAGTATACATGGAGATAGGTATGGAGACATGTGGCTGTGCGTTTTCTGCAGGTGTGTATGTAAAGATGGAAATATACATATATCGTTTTCGTGTGAATGTGTGTGTGTAGGTGTATATAGGAACTCATGGCATATAAGACGATATAGATATGTGGTTACAAATAGGGTTCAAGACATGTGATAAGAAAATGTAAAAGAAGGGCCCTGTTTTTCTGCTAGTGACATCTTCCAAATTTCTCCTATAATATTCTCCAATTGGAAGTGAATTTTTAAATAGCACGAAGGGGAAGTTTTAGATTAGTATTTTAATTGAGATTGAAAGATACTACCCCAATGTGGAAAATAAAATTATTTAAATGGGAATAACTGTTGATAATTGGATACATAAAACAACCACGAGTTTATTTAATGAACAAAAATCAAAAAATAATCACGAGTTTACTTTAATGAACAAAAAAATCAAACGAATAAATGTCAACCTAACAAGCTATAAGATAAAAGTTTTAGTGGAAAAAAGTACTAAATATAAATTGGATTACTCTTTCAATGTTCTGTCTATGGATTTTTCCAATCGAGTGCTTCTGAGAAAATACCCAAAACTCCACCGAATTTCAAATTAATTTCTTCGTAGATTGTTTTAAAATTTAGATATTTATCAAACCTTAACCTCCCAAATATTAAAGTAGCGCGAACTGACAGCGTCTAAGAATTTGAATGAAACCTGTCGTGTAATTTATTGGGGGTTGTTGTAACGTCTTCCTTAATGTAGTTCTTATCGCTCACCCCTTAACCACCTTTTATCTAGAGACGAGACGCGTTAAATTTGAGCAACATCCAGCCGACACACTGGGGTTAAAATAGGAAACTAAAATGATACATATGACACACTCATATCCTCTCTCCCCTCACTTCCTCACTTCGTTAATTTTGCATATACTTGATGAGGTCCGTAAAAACGTGTGAATTTCTTTTCATTTTTCATTTCAGCTTTTGGAAAAAAAGTCTGATGATTCAGAACCCCTGTTAAAGGGGTTATGGTGAAATAGCTTATTACATGGAATCTTAACGTGGTCTGTCTTTTATTCAAACATATCTGCTCTGAATTTTACATTGAGCTCTCTGGATATCATCCTCCTCAGGTCTACCCACATGATTACCTAAATTTGCATAAACTATATATATATATATATATATATATATATATATATATATATATATTAGTTTTTTTTGGTAGGGGGAGGAACTTAAACCCAATTAGCTAGTTTCTCAATACTTCTCTGTCCTATGATTGATCCCAGCCTAAATTCTCACGATTGAATTTTCTTTCTAAATCTCGGTAGAGAGACTTAGTATTTGAAGTCATTTAAAGTCAAACTTACTAAATGTTTAATTGACTTTTCTTTATTAGTCTTAATTAGGCGAGTGTATTTTTTTTTTAAAGTTACCATCAAAGTCGCAAGTACTAAATTCCAATAGGTTAGTAGCGCTGAGATTTCAGAAGTAGCGATATATTTAACAACACTTTTCTTAATTGTTTTTGCTATGGCTTTTCATTATTCGTTTTAAAACTTTTTTATTTCTTCTGCTTGACAATTCCATGTTTTTTTAGTATATTCCTTATATTTTTTATTAAGGTATTTTACGCTTTTGATTTGCTTTTCTTTCTTTCTTTCTTTCTTTCTTTCTTTCTTTCATCAACGATTTCTTTTCATTTATTTCCCTGTTTTTATCTTGTATCTTTCTTTTTTCATCAAAAGGTTTCTTTCTTTTTCTTTCTTTCTTCATCAAACATTTTCTTTTATTTCTTTCTTTTCTTTCCATTATTCTTCTTTCTTTCTTTTTGCTTTTTTTCTTTAATTCTTCATCAATCATGTTTTTTTTTTCTTTCTTGTGTTTCACTATTCTTTCTTACTTTTTTCATCTGCCATTTTCTATTTTTTCTTTATTTTCCTTCCATATTTTTGATCCTTTATTCATTCTGTTCATTCTTTCTTTCATTCATCAATGATTTCCTTTCTATTCTTTCCCCGTGTTTCTTTTGTCGTCAGTAATTTTCTTTTTTCTCTTTCTTATGATGCCGTCTTCGTTCTTTTGCTATATTTTATTTCTTTCTTTATATATATATTATTTTATGTATTCTTTCTTTTAATTTTCCATTTTCATTCTTTGTTTTTTTGCCTGTCATTTTTCAATTAAAATTCCCCCTTTTATTTTTTCCAATTTTTTTAATTCTTGCATATTATTTCTCTATTTTCTTTGTTTTCCCTCGTTATTCACATATTCTTCAATTTTTGAATTATTTCTTTCTTTATTTCTTTCTCTCTTTCTTTTCTTTACACAAATCATTTCTTTCTTTCCCTGTTCTTTGATTGAATCCTTTTTCTGTTATACATCTATTTATCTTATCTTCCATCATTTTCTTTCTTTTCATGTCTTTTTCATCAATCCTTTTTCTTTCTTTCTTTCTTTCTTTCTTCCTTTCTTTCTTTCTTTGTTTGTTCAATCTTGTTCATTCCCTGTTTCAATCTAGTTTTTCCTTTCTTTCCTCTTTTCTTTTCCTGTTTCTTTTTATCAATCCTTTCTTTCTTTCTTTCTTTGTATTTTCGTCAATTCTTTCTTTCTTTCTTTCTTTCTTTCTTTCTTTCTTTCTTTCTTTCTTTCCATGTTCAATCTAGTTCTTCCTTTGTTTCCTCTTCTTTTCCTGCTTCTTTTTATCAATCCTTTCTTTCTTTCTTTCCTTGTTTTTACTTCATCAACCTTTTTCCTTCCTTCCTTCCTTCATTCCTTCAATCCATTTCTTTCTTTCTTTTCTTTCTGTCATTCCTTGATTTTCCATCAATCCTTTTCTTTCTTTCTTTCTTTCTTTCTTTCTTTCTTTCTTTCTTTCTTTCTTTCTTTATCAATTCTTTTCTTTCTCATTCAATCCTTTTTTCATCAATCCTTTTCTTACTTTCTCTGTTTTTTTCATCAATCCTTTTCTTTCTTTGTCAGTTTTTTTTCATCAATCCTTTTCTTTCTTTCTTTCTTTCTTTCTTTCTTTCTTCTTTCTTTCTATTTCCCTGTTTTTCTTCATCAATCCTTTTCTTTCTTTCTTTCTTTTTCCTTGTCTTTTCTTCATTAATCCTTTTCTTTTTTCTTTCTTTCTTTTTTCTTTCATCAATCTTTTTCTTTCTTTCCCTGTTTTTTTCATCAATCCTTTTCTTTCTTTCACCTTCCCACTCGTATATACCCTAACAACCTCTTAGCCTCATTCCAAACACACGAGTAGATCCAAGCCATTGTAATATTCAACACCCACCACCACTTGACACGTCTCCATCGATGCATATTATACGGCGCTGTTCCCGGAAAGTACCACAAACCATGCTAGTTTTGCCAACCGTAACACCCAGCTTAGCACTATCTCCCGTTGTTCGACCAACCGTTTGACAGTCGTATTAAGACTACTTAAAGCTCGTTCGCAGTCAGAGGCCGGGGGGGGGGTGATTGTAGACGCAGAGTCTCCTGAATGTGTGATCATGGAAGCGTTCGAATACCTCCGATAGAGAACTGCTTTTACCAAAATTGAAAATGCTTTCTTTTCGGTTGGATTTCTAAATAGCTGAATCGACCTTGAGCAAGATCTTTCGCACGAACAATAATCCTGATCTTCTAATGTTTCTCTATTTGGGGTGCAGTTCGGGTCAGTTTTTGTTGTTTCAAAAAGACTGACTTGGCTGAATCCAATAGGCTTTTGAAGAAACGGCATGGCTGAATTTGGATACAAAGATTACGGCTCAGACTATAAATATTCGCAAATGTTTGTCTGCAGTTAAAGTTTTGTATTTGTAAAATCATATAATAATTCCGCTTATTACTTTCTTAGTAAGTTGCCATTACAATGGATAAATAATAGACACCTACGTTTTGACTGCAGAGGAAAGACGTAAGTTTAAGATCTATCAGAGATACTTTTTGAATTTCATGTGAAAATATAAGCATCCATAATATTAATAATAAAGAAAGAAGGAAAGCAAGGTAAGAAGAAGGAGGCGATAATGCTCTCACACATATAACGTATGCTTCAGTGAAATGGAAAACTTTGTTTCTTTTGAATTTTTTCATTTGTACCCTCTTGTTTATGAAATACCGGTTAGTTTTGTTTGGTTTATTTTCTTGTACGGCATACCAATTTCAATGTGTTATTTAAGGACGACAAGATTTTTAGTGTAGGTTCGTATGAGTAGAAAATGTATTCTTTATAAGAAATCACTTTCTAGATCAGGTTTTTTTTTTGCGTATTTTTATAAAGAGCATTTTTGTCGAGAGTCAAATATATTACCGGTATATTTTTTCAAAAATATCTTGCTAGTATTTTTACGATTAAAGTCTATTTTTACACTTTCATAGAGTTTTGATCTCAGTTTGGAGGTTGACTATTTGTCTGTAGCTGGGTCCCTAACAGGTGCTACCACCTCGGGTCAATGTAGATCTGGGAACAACAGCAATTAAGAGGTGGTTCTACGCTCCACAAAACCAGAGGCCATGCTGCCGGATGTAGTTTATCGTCATATCCAGGACCCAGCATGGTTAATGCCTAGATGGGTGGCAGATTGGGAATATCAAGTGCTCTAAGCTTCGATGTGCGAGTGGTGTAATGGATAACAGGTAGCATTTGAAACGCCAAACTTCAAAGTACTTACGCGCAAATACACGTGGAAAAGGTATGAATCCGCTTCATCTCCCTAAACTATTGGTTAATTAGTACGATTTGCATCATTAAATCGTCATTGTCTCTATGAAAGTTGTGACAATCTAAGAATGCATTCTGTCTTTCAATAACCTGAGAAATGCTTGTAAGTCTTAAAATCAATCTTCTTTAAATCATTACCTACATTCATATTTATGACTGTTCTTGCAATATTTTGTTAAAGTTGTTAAGCTCAAATATTCACAGCTACTTAAAATAAACATGGATATTTCGTTATTGCATCTTTATCGTAGAACATTCAATGACCTTATTCGATCTTAATTATTGTAGAAGCTCCTTCAAAGAGCTTTAATAAAATGCGTTGTCAGTTATATTCCAAGGAGAGACTAAAACTTATCTATTAATTGCTAGCAAATTGCATAAATCTAGATTAGAGATCCATTCATTCAGTAGAAAGACTCATCTGACTGACGTATATTGTCAACTTAAAAGCACAGGAACACAAAATGGAATAGAAATTTGAATCAAGAATTGTAAAATATTGTCGATGTACAACGAAAAACAGGAATCAACAGAAGGAATTCAACTCTGTTATGACACACATTATATATATATATATATATATATATATATATATATATATATATATATATATATATATAGATGTATGTGTAAATAGTTATACTGTCTGGAGAAACCTTATGTATTTTGGCTTGTAATTGAACAAACCAATGCCCAAGGGAAAATAAGGGATAAAAAAAGAAAGAACTAAAACCATGAAATTGATCGTCACGGTCAATCTGGCCAGTTGACCCTGACGATCCGTACTAGGTAGGTTTATCTGGCTTTTAGGTTATATATATATATATATATATATATATATATATATATATATATATATATATATATAGCTGGCCACTTGTATTGAGGATAACCGTCTACAAATGTAGACGCTTGCTCAGGCCTATTTGTGTTATTCAACACCCACAGAGCTCACCTGTGGTTTTTACTGAAGCTATACTGAGCTTGTTATCTATCATGATCAACGATTTGAACAAGGACATCACACTCAAGCCCTCAGCCACTATGATTTGCGACTTCGTGCTATCGACGGATGTCTCTCCAATTTCACTCCCGTTGCGTGGTTTTTCCAACAAACCAACTATGGTAAGATTCGATCGACCCCGGTTCTCATATTCAGAATACGAACGTTCTTCCTGCTCGGCTATGTGTCCATATATATGTATATATATATATATATATATATATATATATATATATATATATATATATATATATATATGCGTTTGCGATGGATAAATTGTCGTCTAATTACACTGACATCTCATTTTAGCACATATATTTCCAAAATTACATAAAAATATCTTGAAATAAAATAAGAATTGGCTTCAACTACGGCCTCCAGATGACTTCGGAATCTCCGGCAACTCTTCTGGACGACCTCCTTGTTTAAGTTGGTGAATGCTGGCATAATCCTTGCCTTCAGTTCATCTTTGGTGTTACAAGGAGTTTTGTCGATCTATCGCTCAACTGTGCCCCACATATAGTAATCAAAGGGGTTACCGTCCATGGAGTTAGGTGGGAAGATGTAAAGGGTGATGTGGTCGCAGAAATTGTCTGACAGCCATGAAGAAGTTATCCTTCTTGTGTTGTATGTTGCCAGATATCGTGTCTCCCAGCAGCCATCCAATTGACCCAGGACAGCAAAACCTCCTCAAGGAACTTGATGTTATCCACCGTGTTGAATCTGAGTTCCTGCGGGTTGATGAATGGAGGCATAACGTCATCACCACTAGCGATCACTCCAACCACCATAATGTTAACTGGATATTTGGTTTTCATTACCCTCCGTACATCTTTTAGGGACACGGCACGCCAACAATTGTTCTGTGTGGTCAGCATCTTATTTCAGCAGAAATTATTCTCGTCTGAGAATAACCAAAGCATGTTCGGTTGCAGGGGATTCTTGAGTTTGTTCAGAAGCATTGTGATGTAATGAATATGCATACACCTGGGTTCCCCCTCACAATAATATGATTGGCTGGTGTCAGCCATAAATACAGACTGATGTAGAAGTACATGGAATACGCCTATTGTCTTCGCATATTCACTACACCTATTGCTTATCACTACGACGAGGACCTGTCCATTATGGTTACCTGCTAGATTGTCCTACCCGGTTACAGCCACTTTCGAACAAAGATATCCCTTTTCCGGGACATATCAATTGGCAACGAGGATGAGATCCAACTGATATGTCCCGTAATGGGATATATTTGTTCTAATCGTTACGTATCCATTAATGATTACGGGGTTTGTCTACGTCAACTTGTTTGGTTCTGATAGAGTATTGACAATGTTTCTGCTTTTGGTCCATTGCTGTTGCTTTTTTAGCCTCTTTGCCGCTGCAGTAAATGTATTTTAATTTACTTGAATTTCGTCATCCACTTGCAGTTCTATTTTGAATTTGTTGCCTTTCCATATTTCTGTCACGTTTTTTAACACAGATCATCATCCAGTCTTCTCTAGTTTCCAGGAGTACTTTTGGATTATTATTATTATTAATAATAATAATAATAATAATAATAATAATAATAATAATAATATTTCGTTTTCGAATTTCTTTTCTCGGCCTATCATACTTTTAGCCTGTAAGAAGTATACGTGGTCTATAGATATAGATGTCTAAGTAGTCCAATACTAGCAGTGGTTTACCTGCTTCACGCCGCTGGCGAGTATTGTATTTTGTTGATGATATAAAGATTAGCATTTCATTTCCAACCTCCGTTTTGTTTATTCCTTATTTAGTAACATTTTCTAGGTTACAACAATATATAAATTCATCCTGATCATCTTGATAAAAATTATTTAACCAACAAAAATTTATTGTGAAAATATTGACTTGCATAATTAAATATGACGTATTGCAGACACACGAAATCTCACCTCCTAAAGAAATAGATAGATAGATAGATAGAGAGATAGATAGATAGATAGATATAGAAACCCCTACACACAAAAAATCACAACCACATTCACATGTATATTCTTGCAGAAGCAATTTCAAGTTTATTCGAAATTTAATGGATGAGGAACAACGTCTATTGACTTGAGATAACGAATATGGAGTTTGTGAAGGAAAGTAATTGGCATCATCGTATATCAGTTCTTTTAATAAAACACTTTCGTTTTGAGCGGGAATTTTCAGACATAGTGAGTAGATTTTAACATACCAATACAAATGATCAGTCAAATAAAAGATATTGCTATTTCTTTTTCTATCAGTTACAGGAAATGAGAAGTGGCTGCTGCTGCGAGCTAACAATTTTTGGGTCGATACCAATGACCAGATATTCACATTCCCTTGTCCAATTCGAAAAAAAAAATATCCCAAAGGGTAACTAATAACCTGAATCCACCAAATTTAATTGAAAACACGTAAAACGGATATTTATTTTCGCAGAATTTTCCAAAGATTACTCTGACAACGATCGTTATTATTATTATCATTATTATTATTACTATTATTATTATTATTGTAGTGACGTAAAATTTGATAATTTTGTAACACAACTCGAGATACTATTAAAGACGTAGTGAAGCATTTGATAGAATTAAGCGAATGTCTGGAATGGCAAATACGCCTTAGTACAGACAGTGTTACACATACAGACACAGAGACATACACAAACGCAAAGACTCACACCAAGATATATATGAACAAAACTTACGCAACTATATCTAGAAGTATACACACACAATGTCACGGCACAATGGACTCTTTGAAATGCTAGGTAAGTTTGATTTGTTCGGAAAGCCGTTATGATAATCCTGGATTTATACTGTGGGCAAACTACCTGCCGACAGATAGAATAAAAATTCATAAAAGACACAAAAATAGACAGTGTCTTAAGACAAGGATCTTCCCTCACACCGAATTTATTCGGCCTTTACTGTTAGGCGACCTTGAGAATATTCGAAGTCGTACCAGGGTTCATTATTGGGCGCTACATAATGTATGAAGATTTGGGCACTTCGAAGTGGTGTAATGGTTAACAAGCTTGTCTCGTTAGAACAATTACGAGTGAGTAGTTAGTTCGATCATCACTGGGTGTCCTATACTTTTGGCCTTGTGCCACATCTAAGCTACGTTTGGAAATTCACACAGCAGTGCTCCAAACTGTTCATTACTGTCAAACTCTCTGCCTCGGCAGAGAGGAACCCGGACGAGGCTCTGCCGAAGGGTAAAGTTTCGTCCGGGGAGGTAGACAGGCACTGAACCCGTTTAGACGGGTTCGAAGGGAATATTTTTGGCCGAGCCTACGGGTTCGGAGAAACCCACGTTAAACTTGGCCTTGTGCCACATACTACCCACGTGCGGGGCCGTTAAATATATAGTGGTGTAATGATTAATAAGCTTGTCTCCTGGATTAAATAGTTAGTTCGATCATCATTGGGTGCCCAATAATTTCGACTTTGTGCCACATCTAAAAAACGCTTAGAAAATTACCATAAGGTATGGAGATTTGAGAACTTCGACGTGTTGTAATGGTTAACAAGCTTGTTTCGCTAGATCAATTACGATTGAATAGTGTGTTCGATCCTCATTGGGTGCCCAATACTTTTGACTTTGTGCCACATCTAAACAACGCTTAGAAAATTAACATAATTACCGTGTTTATAGCGGACAGAAAATGAAACGACCAGAACTCCTAGGGAAATAGTAAATGAAAGTGAAAAAAAAAAATGGCTAAATGTCAATTGTAAGAAGACAGAATATATGAATGTCAGAAAAAGAAGCATCCCAAGATGCAAAATACGAATTGCAGTCTACGAATTAGAGAATGAAACAAGTACAAAAACTGAAATTTCTTGGAAGAATTTTAACAGGTGACGGAAAATGTGAGGCTGAGATCGCAATTGCGAAAGAGGCCTTCCAAAAGCTAAGCAAAGTTTAAAGAAAAAAAAAAAAAGGAAAATTGCATTAGGAAAAAAAACAAAACAAAAAAAAAAAACGCTGAGAACGATGATATAATATCATATGGCAGTGAATAATGGATAAAGGTGAATAAGAGACTTGAAGTAAAAGAAATATTGTTCCACAGAAGGATGCTTAGAATAGGACAGATTGAGGATGTGAGTAACAAAAAGTTATAAGGAAATGGAAAAAAGGGACACTTATGAATTCGGAAGGAGATAAATGACATTCTAAGGTGCATGACGAGGAAAGACGGATTGAAGAATTAGACACACACGGGATATACTGGAGGTTATAGAGACAGAGTAAAG